AAAAAAAAAAAAAAAAAAGCCTGGAATTGGGATTTAAACATTACTTACCCTGACAAAACGGAGATTTAAGGAATCTTTGTAAAAGTACATATGATTATACTGTACAACGGTAATGATAGAAAATGATCCTTGAATCGGGTAGCAGAAATAATGCTTCACTGGATGCTTCCATTACATATATTATTTGTAATTTCAATGTGCTTGAAATCCATTTTTTAAATCCCCGCCAATATATTCCACTTAAAAGTATCCACAAATTGCAACCCTAACCCACAAAACCAAATCTGTACAGACTATTTTCTGAGAAGGGATAATCATAAACGTTATTCACAAACTTGTGTACAGAATGAACGTACTCCTACCTTTCTATAAACTTCTGAAATATCTTTCCTCGAAGGCTATCACAAATTTCTTCTATATATGGCTGTAATGACAAGACAAAGGCATGTGTGAGTGCTTCCATAAAGCAAGAATATAACAATACACTAGCTCAGCAAAAAGACACAAGAAATATGCAGTGGGACAGGATGGTGGGAGTTTAATATAAAAGGAGGTAATATGTGATTACACATTGCAAAGTTAAAAGGACCGCCATCAAAAAAAAATCTTGTATTCTAATAAACATATGCACTTAAAACATGCAATATACAGTATATATTTTTGAAACATTTTATAATGCCTTAATTTATATTTTTCTCCAAGTTTATATGCAGAACTATACTTGGCCATGCACTGAGCAAATTTCGCCTGGTTCTTGATGCACTGGCCAAAATTCACTCAGTGGGTGGCCCTGTCAGCAGCCTTCCACTCTACAGCCTTCATTTAGAATACTGTCGGGCGAACAGTGACTGCACCCAATCAGCTGCAGTCACTGTTTGGGTATTCTGACAGCGGCACACCTGCTGCTGTCGGAAAACAATAGCTCCACAAGAGATTCGTCCATCAATGCTGTTTAGAATGGATGGAGGAATCTTGATTTTTTTTTATTACAATCCAGCAGTGTATGGCCAGCTTTAGTTAACCAGCAAAAGTGTCACACACAGGGGTTGGGAATCACTAAAACACTTTCAGCCCTGGTTTACCTAGGAGTTTTTGAGCAGTTCGAAAAGCGCTTTTAACTGCCCAACACAAGAAATCCCATCATTTTCTGGCCTGAGCAGAAAAACGGCAAACAGGAAAACATCAGACGCCTGAAAAAATACAGGAGCTTCTTTGAGCAGTTTAAAACGCTTTTCCTCCCCATAGACTTCATTGGAAATGCCCAAAAACACGTGTTCTTCCATTGCCCACAATGGTTTATGAGCTGCCAATCAAAACGCACGTCTTCATGTACACGCATTAAAACGCACATACAAACGTGCACATCACGCAAATAACCGCATGCTGCTAACGCGTACAAATGCGCAAAAACAGTGCCGCCTAGATGTGAACCACAGCTCAGGGATGTTTACATATTGTATTTGGTTTATGAAAAAAACAAAAAAACACTACTGCTGCAACATCCCCCATCTACACCATTATTTTCTTTGTACTGCCCCATTAAATAATTTCACTGGTTTTAGTGGTACGGTCTGACAAATGAACAGAAACAGTGTAAATTTTAAATCATTCTTCCACGTACAGGATTTATCTATAAAAACTACAGCCATCCCTTCAATAGCACATGCATTCCCTATTTGAGAAACAAAACTGCAAGGTCATCTTTCCATAGTGCCCAGTCTGCAGACAGTAGCTTAATTTATTTGTAAAAATGAAATCCATGTGAAAGGACAAGACGATAACTGGCACCAGGCTCACTTGATACACAGAATGAACTCAGCTACCCATAAAAAAAACCAGACAAAATAATTTCACTTTGTAGAGCTGTGTTAATAGTGTAGCCATATACCATTTTCAGTGATTTGCTGCAATGTAAAATATGATTATGTACTAAAATGTACCTTTCTGGATATTAATAAATATATCCTATATTTGTTTCCGGTACAGCTGGAAATCAAATTCCAGCTGTTCATTTACTATCAGTTTTGTGACCAAAGGCAATACTTCCTTTTCTCCATACTTTATGTGAAAAAACAATAGTATGCTAAAAAATTATAAACAGAATTGTAGCTACTGTGGATACATTAAGAATTCTTAGTTCTTCAAGTTAGAAGTAACTATTAAATAATAATAACTATTAAAATCTTAAGCTGCTACCTTTTTTTTTATCATCCTGCCTCTTAGGTATAAAAAATACAGCTCAGCGAAGCTGGCCCCCCTGCAATCAGTACAAATAAAAACTCCAGTGTGTTTTTTTTAGTGCTACGTTTGTGCTGTTTTGTGCCGCAAAAATTTACATTTATGCTGTTTTTATTTTTAAGATAATAGAATTTTTTTTTTTAAGATGACATCACCCAGCCCCCCTACAACAGCAAAAAGACATGTAACCGGACTGGATGGTTAGTGCCACGTTTGTGCTTGTTTGTGCCGTTTAAATCTCCTTTAGTTTTTGCGTTATTAACTATTTATTAAAGGTCACCCAGACCCCCTACAATAGCCAAAAGGCATGAAACTTGCTGGTTGGTTAGTGCCACGTTTGTGCTGGTTTGTGCTGTAAACATTTACATTTATGATGCTTTTTTTTCTTTTAATAATAACTTGTCACCCAGCCCCCCTAAAACAGCCAAAAGACACAAAACTGAGCTGGCTGGTTAGTGCCACGTTTGTGCCATAAAAATTAACATTTGTGCTGCTTTCATTAATAGCAATTTTGTTTCTTTTTTTAAGATGGTGACATCACCCAGCCCCCCTTCAACAGCCAAAAGACATGTAACTGGGTTGGTTGGGTAGTGCCACGTTTGTGTAATTTCCTGTGTGCAATACTATAGGCTGTAGTGCCCTCCCTCTATCTAAACAACCTCATTCTTTCTCATTAAGGTTGCCCCTAATTCATCTTTCAAAATTTTCTTCCCCAAACTTGTCCTATTTCTCTCCCAGCTATAGGAATAATATTATGATCATCAAATAAATATTGTATGCTATATGCCCAAAGGTTTTTCTCACAACAGATGACACAGCCTTTAGGGCCCGTTCACACCAGATGCAGTGCGTTCCGTCCCGATTCTGGCCAGAACGCACTGCCTCGCATTGCGGTCAGCTCATTTTACTGTGGGCAGAAGTGCTTGCAGCATTTTGATCGCACCGGACCAGACCACAGGCATAATGTGCCTTGCGATCCCGTGCGGTCGATCACATTGCGGCAGAGGGTGTGGCTACGGTGCCATTCACTTCAATGGCCCGCCACGCCCCCTCCTGCCCTACAAAAAAGTGAGCCGGCCGCAATGCGAGGCAGTGCGTTCTGGCCAGAATTGGGTCGGAATGCACTGCATCTGGTGTGAACGGGCCCTCATTGTTATCTTAATGATATGCCAAATAAATCTCTGTTCTTCTCATTAGCATGATCCTCTGTTTATTACTGAAGTTTTAGCTTATTTGAGGTGATGTCATTTGTGAGAGCACAATGGTTTTTTGAATTTCTCTATTCTTTAGAATTTTTTTTCTGTTAAAAACAATTTAAAAAAATTAATACAAAATGTGAGTTATACTTTCGGAAAATTAACAAAGGCCCTTTATTTGCATTTAAAGTAAAAACATGAGAAATTGCTGAAGTTATTGTAATTGAGTCAGTCATTAACATGGTTATAAAGCAGCTACAGGTGTAGATCGCTCCTCCACCCTTTTTATTTTTTAAACACCATCCAAATGACATCTTGAAGAAGTCACTGAGCTCCAGGAAAGCAGGTCAAAGTCAGCTGCAGGAAGGACAAATCATTTCCTCAGTCTCTTTTCCACTAGTAATTACGGAGACTAAAGTTGGGTATATACATTTCTATTTTCTTCGTTCAACCTGCTGGCTGAAGAAAGAAAATAGAACAGATTCCTCTATTAACGCTTACAAGCGTTGATCGAGAAATCTCCCACTGTTCACACTGTAATCTGACAGCGGCCACCGGCCAGAAATTTTCCGACATGCTCCTTTGATCAGCTGATCGAGAGATGCTGGTCGGAAAACTGCAGACAGTGGCACCCATGCTTTACAATTTCGAAGAGTGTATACATGGCTTTACACTGTAGCTTTGTAGCAAGTCCAGGTGAGATGCAGCATATGAGGGCAGATCTATGCAAGATGTGTACACAGAGCCAAAAATTGATATGTGCCAACATTTAAATAAAGAAAGTAGATGCCGACCATGGATGATACATGATAAAGAAGGGTACCAGCCTTTAAGAGCTAATAATAACAAACACACCCAGGGCGCCATTTTGCATTGCATGTTTGTGGCAGATTTAGAACATTACATCAGCTACAATTTTAAATGGAAAGGTAATTTTTAATAACATTACATGACAAAATGGCTTGTGTGAGAATTATATATGCTATATTAGTTTTTAAAAGATTTTTTCGTTTTTATATTTTAAAAGTGGAGTTACTCTTTAACAATATATCTACATAATATAGATAATATATATTGTCTATAGATACAATAAAGGTAATATTGGTTTAATCAATTAATAATTTGTTTGAAGCTGTAAGACCAGCCAGCCTAATACATTGTAAAACCTTATAACATTAGGATGCATAATCCGCAGGGAACCCATCTTGTGCCAGGATGCTGTCACTCAAAGCATTAGGGCTATCAATGTTTTAACACTGTGCATTTGTAGTATGAGAAAACCAACATTTTTCATTAAGATCAATTAGATTCTTAGTAACACATAAGAGATTTATGTGGTTTTTGCATCACCTATTCATACATCCATGTATTATGGTCTAACCAGGCACTCACTAGAGGTATCCAGGATATAAACCATAACACGTTTGCCCCTGTATCTCTGGACTGATTATATTAGAGATCAAACATATGCATATCTGTTTTAGCTACAATGCCGAGCACATTTCTAGGGGATGTTGCACCCCTAATACAAAGTAAACATGCTTTAGTTTTAGAGGCCCTTAGAAGTAAATTGAAGTAAGCAAAAATAATTAAATTGTGAAACCCCAACAGACACAAATGCTCACTGACAAAATTAGGAGCAGTGGAAATAGCAATAGATGAGTGCTGGTTTTGACTTGCCTCCTCAGCTAGCTTATAAGATGTGCTTTGCATTAATAATATTATAATTTCTCTTTAAACTTTTAAAATCAACCACAAAAGCGGGTTAAAACCACACTCCAGCAGATTGATTATTTACACACCACACTAGGTGTGCAAGTTTTTCATGACAAAGCTGTGTGTTCTGTGCAGAGTGCAGCTGCAAAGTAGAACAATCTTACTTTGCTGCGCGCTGTCTTCTGCATGGAACACCCAGATTCCAGGCACTGAAAAGACGGAGAGATGCAACTCCAGCTGTACAGCGCTCCAGTCGCATCAACCTCAGCTTTTCACTACGCTCCATTTAGAGTATGACATGCATTTTTTTTTAAAGAATACAAGACATTTTGTGGTTGAGAGGACATTGAGTGGAGGACTTGTTTCTGGACTTGGAGAGTTTGTAGGTCCAGGTCTTGTGATTGAACTCTTAAAGCGGAGAGAAACCGTCCGTCCTCCTAAGGCCACTAGCAGAAAACTGATCTTTCCGAGAGTGGAAGAGAGAGTAATGCAGGGCTGTCCTTACAGCTTTGGCAGTGTCAAATCTCCTGAAGGCAGCTGCATAACCCATGGTCTAAGCCCAACATCCGCTGTCCTTTAATTGATTACAAAAACAAAAAAAAACTAAGTCTATTTTACAAGACAGATGAATGCCATTTCTTACCTGAAATAGAGTAGGGGGCACTTGTTTCTTTGCAAGGTGGGCCTGAACATGGTCTACAGCTTGCTTGGAAAATGGCTATGGATTGAAATATAAACAAAGTTATTTCCTCGAATATGAGAAAAATACATACTGGCATGTGTAATGTATTTCCATAATCAATAAATTATTTTTCAAATGACAACTTTTAACATTGTTTGCATGGGTGGGTCACAGATAACTGCATTTTCCATTTCTAGACAACTTAAATTGATCCTACACTCAAACGTTAAACTAGAACAATCTTGCTTGGATGGCCATTGCTGAAGAAAATCCTTCTCCAGGTTCCCTGCAGTGGAGGAGATACTACCAAAATCATAGGTATTTAGTCAAGTGACTTCTCTTGTTCTAGGTCTCTCTTCATACTTTCCTCAGTTCTAAAGTTGCAGCATGTAAAGACTACAAATAAGTAGCAATATCACCCAAATGACTTAGGCTTTAAGCTTGAAACCAATCGTTAGACAGACAGACCAACAGATAGAAAAATGGAGTTCAGTGAAAGAGAAAATCACAGTTACAGCTGAACCCCCGGCAGATATAAAATGTAAAAAAAATTAATGAAGCTAGGTACTCATTAATACATCATTAAATGTATTTTTCAGATGCAACCAGAATAAGAACCATACTTAGGCCTCAGTTATACTAGGACATCCCCCCCATTAGGTCCATGGAGCGACAGAAATATAAGTGGTCATTTTCTGTCCACAGGCTGGAGAGGCTGGAGAGGCACTAGTGGCATAATCACAAGCAATATTCTTAGTGAGATCCTGTCCATAATAGAAAAACTGACTGGTTCAGGGCATTGTTGGAGTGTGGCCCTGGAAAATGTGGTAGCCATCTGCTGTGTTGTTACTGACAGATGCAAGTAAAGGGCACCCTGAGATGTTGATAAAGAATATGGCTCTGCCACTACCTAAGAGAAGGCAAACTCATTTGTTCATTAATGAATCCCCCCCACCCCTCCAAAGTGTGTAGACCCCTAAACAACCTCCGTTACCGATAAATAAAAGGATATAGCTATAGATATTGGATTTAGCAAGTTGCTTGTAATTGAGCTTAGAGCAAGATTGGTAGATGCGAATACTTACATGTGAGCAAGATAGTAGCTCTTTCATAATGTATGTGTCATAAATCTGTCGACTTCTACAAAGGCGGTCCTCCTCTGAATCCAGTTTCTCATACTCTTTTATCTAAAAAGGGAGAGAGGTAATACAGAATGTCAACTGTATGTAAATTCCTGACACATCTTCATTAATTCAGGACTACAAAAGTACCACTGCACTGCACTTTATTTGACGTGCCACAGCACAAAGCAAAGTTAAAGCTTTTTTGGATGCTTGTGTGCACTGACCTGCGCACATTGCTTTCACTCTGTGCTTTAGAAGTCAATGACAACAAGAAAATTGAAAGTATTTGTTGCTGTTGCATGTTCAATTGTATGCAAACAGCCGTTAACGTGTTTATTGCCTCTTTACATATATGATGTCTGTTAGGCTGTCCATACATGAGTAAATTGCACAGTGCTCATGACAGTAATGACCCAAGGTGCAACACATTTTGCCAGTCACAGCAGCAGCCATATCTAAAATACATGGGCACTTGATGCTTTTAGTTGACTTCCATAGCATGCTGGAGATAATAGATGTGCTTTTTATGAAACTCACTTAACCACTGTAGGGGGTCAGCTCTAAATGTATAGCTTGCAGAGGGGTAGACTAGACAACAAAGTGCGTTTAAAGACTTTCCACTCGTATCATCACTGTTGCATAAAAACAAGCGAGCTTTCCCTTGCAGGGGGTGTGTGTCAGAACAGTCCAGGACACAACACAAAATTTACCCTCCTGGGAAATTATGAGACAATTGGGTCTGCTTAGACCTTCAGGCTGTTTCAGCAAAGCCTGCATACAATCTCCTGTCATGCACCGAAGGAGACGGTTTGTCACACCACAAATTATTTAACACTAAAGCAGAAGTTTGTCAGCCTCCAAAATCAGAGAAAGACTATAAAAAAAAAAGCTGCATATTTTTACAGGAGGTCAACAATTACCTTCCTTAGCTGGTAATCAGCCCATTTATGGACATCTACTCAGTAACCCTATGTAAATAAGCTGTCAAGTAGGCCAAGCTAAGTAGTGGGAATTCCATTAAGCCCTGAAACATGCCTTGGATGAAGAAAAACTGAAAACTGTGTTTTGTTATCCAAATAAGAATAGATTATAGTGAATGAAGATGAAAGCTATTTGCTGCTAAAGGCACTGAGAGGTAAGTACCTCAGAAATAATGCAGCTACTGTAATCAATGCGATAGATTATGCCCTAGATGCCTGGGAAGATTCCAGTCCTCAGATCTCTCTTAATTCTGACGCTGATGCTTTCACAGATCTGGTGACAATAATAGCAATCACATTCAGCTAAATGCCTTTTCCTAATTTCACAATCCTGCTTTTAAAAATGGCGAATACCCTATGCAGCACAAAATGGCAATGCATCGGTGACACACATTTTGTGAATATCTCAGCATCAAGTGCCATCCTTCGATGAATCATTCAAGTCTAAAAAATGTTATGTGTATAGCTAAACAATATTATAAAAAAACATGTATTGGAAAAAAAATATGCAGGCTACAATTACTGACCTGTTTTTACCTGACTCAAATGAATGACCTAGAAGTATGCAGAAAATTAAGCCAATGTGGAGTCCAAACTCCTGATCTACCTCTATATTTAGGTCAGCAGCCAGGAAACCAGGATTTACAGAGAGATGTTAGTAATGGCAATCTATAGGATTTCTCTTAAATATTTTTTAGTGCCAAGCTCAAAATCCTCGATGATCATCAAGTGGACCTAAAATGTAAAAGGTAAACTGTGCACAGTCCCATGATTGCTTGCTGTGCCCTCCCCCCAGCGTGGAGGACAGAGCTAGGGGATCCAACCAAATAATCGATAATGAGAACAGTTGACAACTATTCTCATAATCGATTAGTTGGTTGCAGCCAGGGCTGGCCTTTGGGGTGTTCGAGCTGTGCGGCCACAGAGGGCGCCAGGCGGCCGACACAGCTCGTCCACTGCCTACGGTCAGGATGGCCTCGTGGTAGGGAGGAGAGAAGCTACACCTGTCAGCCTGTCAGGACGGCCGAGCGGGTAGGAGATCGGAGCCGCTGTCCTCCTGTCAGTTTAAGGATGACAGCAGCTCTGTGCGTGGCAGAGCGGAGGATCGGTACATATCATTGATATTTACTCATCCTCTGTAAGTGAAGGACAAACACTGGAGTGATTGCCTGATCACTCCAGTGTTTGTAAATAACTGGGGACACATAGTATGAATGAACAGGATGTGATTTTCTCAATGGGGAGAAGCACTCACTACAGAGGCTCCTCCCCATTCAGAAACTGGTGATAGTAAAATATTTTACTATCAGCAGTGTCTGAATGAATGGGAAGCCTCTGTACTGAGTGCTTCCCATTCATTGAGTGCTGAGGCTGCAGAAAAAGAAATTGAGGACTAGGTGTCCTCAATTTCTTTTCTATTTTAAAAAGGTAAATGTCAGGGATTTAGACCCCTAATATTTCCACTAAGCCCCCCCCCCCCACACACACACACACACACATATTGTTAGGCATGTGCAAAGACTAAAAATTAATTTCAGATTAGATGAACGCAAAAACTAAAATAGTTTTCATTCGTTTCATCAAACAAAACAAATTTTTATGCATTTTGGGTTCAGCCATTGGTGCGTTCTGGAGGCAGGGCGCATGACGTCATATAACACCGCATGTGTTGGGCGCCACCATCTTGGTGTATATCTAGGTATACACCAAGAAGGGCGGTGCCTATATTAGCGTGTGACGTCACCTGACGCCACGCATGCATGACGTCATGCTCCCCGCCTCCAAGATGGTGGCACGTATTCGCAGAACGCTCCGGTGGCCAACATGGCGGCCGCACAGTCTCAAACAAATTATTATGTGCCTGAATACATTTTTCATATATTCCGACATATAGTAATTCATTCATTTAACATGTAGTCTGGGTTTTGTGTTCTGGTTTTTATTTTTAATTTTCTAGGTACACTTACTTGAAAAAAGGTTCTGCGTCATATCCTGACACTTTATTATTATAGACTTTATTTTAGTTTGACATTTATTGTTTGCCTTCTGTTGTTTTATTTAATAAGAATACTTATTTTGTGCCTACAAGTTTAATACCTTTGAATAAAAGTTGTACTTTTATCATACGGTACTTTTTATTATTTTTCTTTGGGGCTTAACAAAATCGGAGTCTTTGAATGGTGCAGATATTGGAAAAAAAATGGGTGTGGTTACTGAGGGGTGTGGTTACTGAGGGGTGCGCTGTAAAGCTTTCTCGCACAGGCGCCTAAAGGCCGGCCCTGGTTGCCGGCCTAGTCCCATTATCCATCAAACCCACATCTGGTATAAATGTAGTAGTATAAACCATCTATCAGAGGGCTCTAGTGCAGCTATTCAGTTAGCACAAATGCTATGCTTGGAACTGATTTTATGTTTGTGCTACGTTTCTGTCCAGACTTTGGGTCTCTCCCTGTGTCCAGGCTGTGCCTCCATTTTTGTGCTACCCTGCTGCAAGGAGATTCCGAGTGAAAAGCAGAGGACACCCTCCATGAGTCTGCAGGAGAGATGATGCTGATGGTAAAGAAGAGGAATATGAACATCTGTTGGAAGGAGAGACTAAGCCAGACATGAGAGTTGCATATGGGTCCAGAACAAAGGGAACTCTTCGCAAGGTACAAAGGTGAAAGGTACACAAAGATCCACTCAGCAGGCTCTTTTAAAGTAATGTGTATACGGTATTAAACAGTTAAAAAAAGAACATGTTTCAATCCATAAAATCTAACAATGTTGTCTAGTGAAATGCTCATTCTTTACAAATACATGTTTAATCATTCTAGATATACCAATAACATGCTTCAAGGCACAGAAAATGCATGTGTATATTGTGTATGGTGTATGAGATGAAAAGAGAAAAGATCAACCACCTAATTAAAAATGATTACAAAAGAAAACATCCAGTTCTGCAGGCTGATTTGTTTTTGAAAATTTTCATTTATGAATGATCTTCAAACCCAAAATCATTAATTTCTTCACACTACTACCTACTGCTTATGGGTAGCTAAACTTATAGTGCTTATTGCTGTGTGTTTTCAATGACAACACATTTCACTGAATTTCATGGGTTAGATATTAAAAAGGGGGCGGTATTTAATTTGTTGCTCAGTGATTCACAAAAATCTTAAAGCAGAAGTAAACCGCTGTGTGCTGGGTAGAGTATTTGCCATAATCTGCAAGTATGTACACTTAAAAATGTACCCTTCTTCAGCTCTGTGCGATGCATCTCAGGTCAAACGCCAACCGCCCCCCTTGTGCCGCCATTACTTTTGGTTTCCCAGGCATTCTCTTTAGCCATTGGGTGGCCACTGATAATGTAGATCCTGCACATGTGCACAAGAGTTACATACTCCCCAGCATCAGCCCCATTCATGGCATCTTAGAGATGATGTGAATGAGCTGAATGTGCACACTGCACAGTATGCACTATACAGTGTGCACAATAACATACAAAAAAGTTGGGGGTACCCAACATTCTAGCATTTTTTTAAAACTTTTTGCACTTTACTTCAGCTTCAAGGCCTTGTGCACAGAAATGTGGACAATTTTGGCATTTGTTATTAAAAAAAAAAAATTACATAGAAACATGTGGATCTGGAGCTACAGATGTATGCTCACAAGTGCATAGGATAGGAAAAAAACAAAAAGAGAATTGCTTGTTCCGAGTTTCCTTTAAGACGTTCTTCACATATTATGCCTACGGCTGCATGCCATGCTTCCTATTTTATACAGAGAAAATAGACTGCTTCCCATTACATGCAGAGAAATTGTACTTTTCTGTTGTAAAAGCATATTTAGCAGATGATTCATTGACCAAAACACTGAAAAACAGGACCATTTGCAAAGATTTCATTTAAATCATGCAGTTCACCAATGTACTTTCCCCCATTACTTTTAGATCAGATGTTCTACCTCTACATGGCTTCAGGCTGTGCACATTTATTTAGATTATGTAAAGTCTGGCAGAACTGATGTGGATTCTGCCATTCACGGCTTTCTAAATTTCCTAAATCAATACAAGTTCATTATGAAAGAGGATTGCATTTTAAT